AAGTCACAAATTCTTTATTAGACTTTTCAACGGTTTTACAAAAATTCTTTTATGCTTTTATATTATAAATTGCATGCCTCTATATGTATAGTTATATAAGAAATGTTTGAAGACTTAGGAAGGCTATCCACCCTATTTCCTTTTCCTCGATTTGGATGTGGTCTGGTGGGATATCGGGTACTCTTCCGAAGGTCATTTAAATATTAGTTATATATCATGTGTACATATATAGTCATAAATGTTCCATCAGTTAATTTAGTTCCGATACTCTTGGGTAACAAGGGTGTATAAACCTACTTGGACACTCATCAATTACATTCTAGTAAACTATTATAGGAATAGTTTAGGGTATACCAAACATTATCCATATTACAAGAAATTACACCAGAGTCAGTTCATTCATGAGTCTAGACTACATGCTATATGAAAGGATACTCTTACAGAGATTCCACTTACATGAATATGTTTACATAGATACGCTTAGATGAGTACATTTACATAGATCATATATGACGAGTTACTACTACATATGATATGTGTAGATATTGTTATATAGATCACCTTCTTATCTTTACCTTGTGATACAATCACATAATCGACGAGATGAATTGGACTTTATATCCTAGTACCAAAGGATACTTTGAGGGACTAACCATTCCTATAGCCACTGTTAGCTATAGAGGATGATGACATATCTACGGATGTCTACGGTTGATCTGTTTACGGCGAGTTTCCACGCCGTGTGTATCTTTACTTAAGGGACTAACTATTCCTAAACCCAGCTGTTAGCAACAGAGGTAACTGCACATCTACGAATGTCTACGATTGATCAGTTTACGGCGAGTTTCCAATCAGTGTGTATCGTAGTACCAAAGGATACAACATAAGTTATTATTACTTTTAGAGTTTTATAATAATAGTTAAACAGGGAAAACCCGTCACATTTTCAAGTGATGCGTACTTTCAAAACAGTCAGTTCTTAGTAAAAGACTACTTTCAAAACATTTGGGTCTTGGTAGAAGACTACTTTTATACTAGTAGGAAATATGGGATTTTCTAGAGTTTTCATACTTATACTAAATGTTTCATCAATCATTCACCAGTCTTTCATAACAACTAATCAAAGCAATGACATTAAATACTTATGAACTCACCATCTTAAATGCTAAAGATAAGAAGGTGATCTATATAACAATATCTACACATATCATATGTAGTAGTAACTCGTCATATATGATCTATGTAAATGTACTCATCTAAGCGTATCTATGTAAACGTATTCATATAAGCGGAATCTTTGTAAGAGTATCCTTTCAGATAGCATGTAGTCTAGACTCATGAATGAACTGACTCTGGTGTAATTTCTTGTAATAGGGATAATGTTTTGTATACCCTAAACTATTCCTATAATAGTTTACTAGAATGTAATTGATGAGTGTCCAAGTAGGTTTATACACCCTTGTTACCCAAGAGTATCGGAACTAAATTAACTGATGGAACATTTATGACTATATATGTACACATGATATATAACTAATATTTAAATGACCTTCGGAAGAGTACCCGATATCCCACCAGACTACATCCAAATCGAGGAAAAGGAAATAGGGTGGATAGCCTTCCTAAGTCTTCAAACATTTCTTATATAACTATACATATAGAGGCATGCAATTTATAATATAAAAGCATAAAAGAAGTTTTGTAAAACCGTTGAAAAGTCTAATAAAGAATTTGTGACTTGATGTTAGTTTATAAAACGATTGAAAGTATTTTGTTTGATAAGACAGTTTAAGTACACGGAAAACCACTGTTTGAAAACCCTTTGTAACCGAGTTTGAACGGAAGCTTACAGTGTATAAGACAGTTTGATAAAGAGCTTTAATCATGTAAAAACGTTTAAGAAAGTCATTTGAAGTAATATGTTTAGTAAAACTGTTAAACTCGTAGTAAATCCATTTGTATACTAGTTATAAATCCCATATGATTGATTTATTAACAACAAGTATCCCAAAATATTGATGTTTTTCACGCCAAAATAATCGTATGTTTGTAGTACCAAAGATGGACACATATACATACTGTACAAGCAGAGTGTTTGATTTATATATATATATATATATATATATATATATATATATATATATATATATATAACAACACTTTTCATTTCAAAAGCTATGATGTTATCGTGATATATTTTTCATACGGAAGTTTTCCCTATAATTGTTATAAATCACATATGATTTCGTTGATGAAAAGCGTATAATGAACTTTATTATATAACACACGACAATAATCGAGTATTTAACTTGTATTCCCCCCCTTAAAATCATATAAAAGTATTTATAAAACATTTAAAGTGTAGTTTATAGGGGTATGAACTCACTTGATTGATTGAAGAAAGCGTGACGAAAACCGAGCAGAACTTCTACTCGAGAAAGCGGATCTCTCGAGATTCTCGGGAAATCTTGGGAGTCTCGAGAGTGTAAAACTTTCTTCCCACCTTGGATATGAAAACCGGGTCTTTGGGATGACTCCGAGGGTTGAAACGCAGAGCTTCGACTCGAGAAAGGAAGGAAATTAGCAAATTTGGCTGGCACCCTCGCATCTCTATTTATAGGGGTCTGAGAGGTTTCGTTACGCGAGGCGTACGAGAGTACGCGTTGCGTACTCATGCGTCATGCATGAGTGCATCCTCGGTCGAAACATTGGAGCGACGTGGACGAACCGGAGCCTAGCATCCGAGTACGCTGGGCGTACGACGGTACGCTGGGCATACGAGGGATCAGACCGCTGACTCGTACTTCGGATAATACCGGGTTTTAATTAAATTTATATTTTAATTAATTAGCAAACTTCAAAGATTCATATCTTTCTCATACGAACTCTATTTCGATGTTCTTTATATCTACGCGAAGGTGAGACTACGATCTACAACTTTCGTTTAGACTCCGTCGGCTAGTTTTGACTTTATGTTTTATATTATATTTTTAATAGGTCGGGACAGGAAAAGTCCGTTAAAGTTCCATAACTTCTTCATCCGACGTCCGTGTTCGTCAGAATTTTTACCGTTGCGCTAGTATTGTTGATCCCTTCGATTCTCATTTAGATTGTGTCGGCTAAAAGTCTCTCGATCTCTATTTCGAGTTTTTAGCTGTCTACTGTTATATCTGTAACTTAGAAAAATCACAACTTCCTCATACGAAGTCAGATTTGGATGTTATTTTTATGTACATTTACGGTTTGATGATATCTAAATCTTTCATTTAGATACCTAAGGCCAAAAACTATTGTATTGAAACTTCGCGTTTTACGTTTATTAGTATTGCCGGTTTTGCCGAGAATCTTCGATTGGCCATAACTTCTTCGTTATAACTCGGATTTTTGGGTTCTTTATATGTATGAAAACCTTGACACGATTCCTACTACTTTATTTAACCCAAATAAGTTTTTAGGAAAGTTAAATTTTGACATAAATTTGACTTGTGTTCCATCGTATTGCCTCGAAATATCGGGTTGTCACAATACATGAAGGGTACAAAATGTATATCATGCATTATCTTTGAGAGATTGAATCTGAATGCTTTCTTCTAATGCTTGTTGTATTTGTTCCTTGGAACATCCCTCAGACTTTCTAAACGACTTCACTGGGTTGTCTAAACATGTAGCAATCTTTTTGCCTTTGTCTTTGGCTTGGTCATCTTGGGAAGAAATGGAGGTGATGATTTGATGGAGGAATTAGAGGCTCTTCAGGGATCTCATAAGGTTTCCTGATAGGAGAACCTTCATCGATTTGAATAATCATCGGAGAAGGAATTGGAGGAAGCATTGACTGAATGGCTCTGAAGGCGTCGATTGTTAGCTTGGTTTTTACCTTGGCCATGTCTTGGCTTCATTGAAAAGTTTCATATAAAGATGATGGCCAAAAGACTGAGGACCATTTCATATTCTTTACTTTGGAAAGGACTTTAGTAGGAGGTTCCCTAGTAGCTTGTAGTGCAAGAATCACATCTTCCACTAAATCTTCATCATCACCATCTACTTCCAGAGATTCTACATCCATGATTTCTTCATTGGTTGATTCATCCCGGAGCACATAATCCAAGATCGGTTTCCATTGCACTTGCTTTTTTTCTCCCCCTCTTGCATGGGAAGGCCCAACCTCCGACGCAAGCACAAAATCTGACATGATATCTTCTAGTCATTCAAACACTCATTAAAAATCATATTTAGTTGCTTGGTCAGTGTGTCACATGGCTCAACTATCGAAGCTTGAGATTTGAGATGGGGAAAATTTTCATCAATAATGATGAACATCTTATCAAATTTGTGGTTCGGAACATTCACAATGTGCCAGGTTGAACGGATGAGCTTGATGAGTACCTCTTGCATGACCATGTTCATGGTATCTTTCTAATGAATCTCTTTCTCAAGTCTTTAAATCTTCTTCTCATGATGAACATGAGTCAGCTTGATGAGTTCGTTAGTAACAGTGATCATTTTATCATGGATCTTAAGCATGGTGCTGATGGTGTCGAGATGATGATTCCGATTATCCTTATAGCATTCCTCAGCTTCTTCGAGAGTATGAATCAAGCGAAGAGAGATGAGTTGGTCTAAATGATTAGCTCAATCAAGTTCCGATGGAGCTGCTTCTTGGATTTCGGAAAGAGACTTGAGTATGAGTTCAATCCTGGAATCAAGTCTATAACTTAATGATCAAGTTTCCTATCAAGGTCCGCTACTTTCTGATTGACTTTATCAGCATTAGTGTTTGCTGAGGCAATATTATCTCGGAGTTCCAACAAGGAAAAAGGATCCACAATGTTTTCATCGGAGAATCCTATTTTTGAGGTGGAAATTTCATATTTATTTTCATCTTCATCTTCATTTTCATCATCATTTGACTCAAGTGGATCACCTAGGGTTTTGTCTCTGTGACCACCTTCCATGGTGCCTTTAAGAGGAGGAGAGGAGTGCTTGTTTCCTTCAAGATTTTCTTATTCTTCAGATTCCTCGGAGGATGAGGAGAGATAAAAATCAAAACATGGTTTTGATGAGGAAGGTTTCTGCATTAGGTTAAAGGTAGTGGGAATTAGAATAACACTGACAATAGTGTTGTCATCTTCAAACATGATCTCATCAGAAAGATCATATTTGCCATTAGGCTTAGGAACTTTTGCACTGGTAAATGTAGGGGGATTATCCGAAGCAATTGTGGAATTGGAAAAAACTACTTTGGCAACAAGATCATTTAGAGGAGGATCAGCCACAATGTTTTCAGAAGTGGGAACATTTGCACTCGAAGTCTTCCTCAAAGAGTCAATGAAGGGTTGAAGCACTTGATTTGTCTCTTCGATTGATGGAAAGGTGAAAGTAAGGCGACTCCAGACAACTATGCATGGAAATAAACGTGTATTCAACTTGTTATTGAGAGAGCTTTGGATGCCTTCTATGAGCCTTGTCAATAAAATATGACCAATCCTTGTCAACAATACCCGATCGTCCTTTACCTGAACTAGGTATTAGACCGATTCTTGTTTTCGAAGCAGGAGGGACTGCTCCTACTTCGGAAAGCATGGAATCAGTGATAGGGGTCACTGCTTGTGCTTGTGTAGAAGAGAAAGGGATGTGTAAATTGACTCTTGAGTATGTCCTAGGGGACTCAAAGGGACTTTGTTCTATATCAGCACCAAATTTTTAAGAATATGGGGGTAGATTTGTGTTTGTGCATGTGATATTGAAACTCTGAAGGGTACTTCAGAAGGGTGGCCATGTGGGGTGAGCTGAGACCTAGAGTTAGGTCGATTGCCAATTTTTGAATCCTTTTAAGAGGATTCACCATCTTTGGTTCTCTTTTTAGCTCAAAATTTTGAAGGGGATGCGTTTCTGTTGGAGCATGGAAACACTCTTTAAATTATGAGTGATATGTTAGGTTGTTTTATTACCCTTTATTGTATTGTAAGTTGTCTCTTTCTATTAATAGAGAGAGGTGGTCATTTTACTTGGAGTGCACCAAATATGTAGTCTTTTGTTTAGTTATAGAGAAAAATCTCGGTTAGGATCTCTCCCACCGAGGTGTTCTTCGTTTTACATATTGTAACTTATCTTTCTAGTAATATCATTCGATTACTCATCTTATGTTCTTCATTTTTATTTTTGTTATCGTCAAATATCAAGATCCCTTTATTCCGCAACTAACCGATCATACAAATAGGTTCCTACAATTGGTATTAGAGATGTACATTGAATATCTAAGCAATTATTTCAATGTAATGGCTCCCGATCGACTACTTTCATCTTGTATTTTTGAGTTTTCATACAAGAATTTCTAGGTTCGCAACCAAATATTTTTTATGATGAGTTTTTGATTTTTGTCATCATCCCTCTCATCCTCGATGCTCAACACCAAAGACCTGAACAAACCAAAGAATTATGCTCCACTGAGGAGAAATGCACTATACCAAAATCTGTTGAGAGCTCCTCGCATAGGCAGCCTTTGCGGTCCTTCTCAATTCGAGACACCGTGGAGAGGAGACTTCACACCGAAGAACTACCGCATAACCCTTCCTCTACTCCTTGCTATGAAACATTCAACCTTCACCGAAGACCTACTCACCCTCCTGTTCATCGCCCACACTCCTGTCATGCCCCAAACCTGAACGGCGGAAACGTTCGGGGGTGTAGGACGTCATGTGCAATATCATAACAACTGGATAGTAAAGAAAGCAAATACAACCATCATATACATAATTAAAAATGTTACATCCTTGTAAGCATTACATATTTCAAAAGTCAATTACAATATAATGTCAAAAGATTTATTAAACGCCTTAGCGTTAAATCTTCAAAAGCTGTTGATAACTTGGTTTACTGGTTTCTTGAGAATACAAGTTATTTGAAAAAGTGTCAACATGTAAGTTGGTGAGTTCCTAATTATTTGTATGAATAATTGTATGCCATTCATTGAGATGAAATCATGTTTATTTCCAAAAAATCTGATGTTTACTATAAAATAGTTGTGAGTCGTTTACTTATAAAATAAGAGCGTTTACCCTGGAAAATCCTATATTTTCCATAATACTGAACTGTAGTCTTTTACATTTCCAAGACCGAAAAGTACAAGTATATATGCCATACTTACATTAGTAATATGTAGTTTTATTCGTAAATAAAACCGGTTGAGGATATATGTTTTTACGTACAATAAGCGTATTATGGATTTCATGTAAAAATAATGTATTGTCGTTTATCATGTGAGTTTTCATAACCGTGCTGAAAATGAATTGCCTGCCTCGACGTTCTTCAGGCGTCGAAATGTTATGTCATTTGTCACCCATAACCTACTGGTCAGGCTGTAGCTATTAGCCAGTGTGTGGGATCATCAGTCTCGTATAGGTCTATTCACATGTATCACGCTCTCTGGGAGGAGACTCTGGTTCTAAAATAGAACTTCCATGTATACCTTTGGTAGGTACGATGAAGATGAATGACTCACAAATTTCCAATGAGATACGTGTTTTTGTAATGAACGTGTTCATACATGAAATTGTTACTCCTTTCGTTATGTTTATAATATATAAAAATAATAGTATTTTTATATAATCGTTTATTTGTCCTGAAAGGGTAAAATAATGTGAATGTTTCCCAAACTATACCTATTATAGTTTAAAATGTATGTTTCGTCGAAAATGATAACCGTTTCATTTTAACATGTTTTGCATGTAAGTGTTTGCAAATTTGGTAATAACGTTATTTCACATATTTGATGCTTTCACGTATTAGATACATAAAATGTAAGAAAACAAAAATAATGGTTTGTAATCAACACAAGCTTCCTTGTGTATTAGTTGTATCCCCCCTCTTAAAACATAAAAAAAGTTATGAAAAGGTAGGGGTATGTACTCACCTCGAGTATGATAGCGGTTTTTGTTAACGTGATAGAAATGGTGACCTTCGGCTTAGAACATGTAGCAATAGCCGTATCCTAACGTTTAAACACATATTAATGTATGAATGAATGGATTTAGACTTGAATTCATTTATATAACCATTAGTTTAAGTGAAGATCACTTACAAAAATACTATGGAGTAATAAGAATCAAAGCTTCCTGGAAATACGTTTGTGAAGAATTTGGGTTGAGAATAAAGGGGTTTGGTATTTGAGAAAGTTTGTTTATGATTTCGTTCACTAGGAATAAATGTGAAGAATTGATCTTAAGTGTGACTTATATACGAAGGAAAAGATAAAAGGTTGATTTGATGTTTACATTGGTTACTGGAATTATGACATAGGGAAGCTGAATTAGGATATGATATAAAGATATTTAAGGAGTTTACTACCTAATTGAAGAAGTTTGTGGCCATAATGTTCACAGAGTAAAGAGTTTTCACCCTTATGGTAAAAGAGTAAAGAGTTTTCGGCCTTATGGTCAAAGAGTAAAGGGTTTTCGGCCATAGTGTCATAAGAGTAAAGGGTTTTCGGCCATAATGTCCCAAGAGTAAATGGTTTTCGGTCCTATATGGTACCATGAAAGAGATTTCGGTCCTTATATGGCTGATAATGCAAGGATGGTGGGCCCAAAATGGAACCTTTTAACATTATGTGTTATTTGACTTTTGTTGACCCTTTTTACACCTAATGTCTTGTAACTTATTTTGGCTTATTTCCACACATTTTCCCATTTATATTATCATATATATAACGTATGTAAGTGTAGCTTCAAATTAATATAAACATGATAACATATATACAAACATACCCTTATAGTGATCAAAGTTTTATTGTATCAATGTTATGATGTGAATTTACTTGTATATGGTTATAGTTTATACTTTTATTGAACTAGTTTGAATTACATTGAATCAAAATAATGGGTTGTTACATTATCCCCCCGTTAGAGGGAATTTTGTCCCGAAATTGTTCCTAAATTGGTACTCATGTACTAGGGAAAAGGTGTGGTTACTTTTGCTTCAGTTGATCTTCTTGTTCCCATGTGAATCAGGTCCTTGTTTGGCATTCTAAAAAACCTTTATTATCGGTATGCGACTCTGTTTCGTTCTCTTGACTTCTCTATCCAAGATTTCTACAGGTTCTTCCACAAAGTGTAAACTCTCGTTAATTTCGATTTCATCAAGTGGAATAACCAGAGTTTCATCTGATAAACATTTCTTGAGATTGGACACGTGAAAGGTAGGGTGTATATTACTAAGTTCTTGTGGTAGTTGGAATTCATAAGCTACTAGACCAATCCTTGCGAGGATTTCAAATGGTCCGACGTACCTTGGATTTAGTTTTCCATGCTTTCTGAAGCGTATCATGCCCTTCCAAGGTGAGACCTTTAACATAACACAATCACCAACCTGAAATTCCAAGGGTTTTCATTTCTTGTCTGCATAGCTCTTTTGTCTGTCTCGAGAGGCTTTCAGTCATTCATAGATTTAAATGATCTTCGCAATCGTTTCCCTGATGATTTACGAACTAGTGAGAGTGCTATCAAGAACTTGTCCTTTAGCTAATTATGTATCGCCCACTTCCGCCCAACACAGAGGTGATCTGCACTTGTGGCGGTAGAGGGTTTCAAATGGAGCAACCTTGATACTAGTGTGATAACTGTTGTTATATGATAACTCGAACAATGGTAAATGGGTATCCCATGCTTTACCAAAGTCGATCACACAGGCTTTCAACATGTCTTCTAGTGTTAGTATTGTTCTCTCACTCTGTCCGTCTGTTTGTGGGTGGTAGGCTGTACTCATGTACAACCTAGTTCCCAGGGATTTTTGAAGCGACTACCAAAACCGAGAGGTAAATCTACTATCTTTTTCAGAGATAATAGATATTGGTACTCCGTGTAATTGTACTATTTCCCTGATGTATGTTTTGGTAAGTTTTTGCATCTTGTCTGTCTCTTTGATTGGTAGGAAGTGTACAGGCTTGGTTAACCGGTTGATGATCACCCAGATTGTATCGAGACCACCCGTTGTCTTCGGTAACTTGGTTATGAAATCCATTATGACCTGCTCCCACTTCCACTTAGGTATCTCTGGTTGTTGTAGTAAACCTGAAGGCTTTTGGTATTCTACCTTTACCTTGGCACAAGGTAAACACTTGACCACATAGGTAGCAATTTCTGCTTTCATGTTCGGCCACCAATACAATTTCTTGAGGTCCAGATACATCTTGTGTGAACCTGGATGAATAGAGTATCGAGTCTTGTGTGCTTCGTTCATGACAACTTCTCTGAATCCACCAAACTTCAGTGTCCACATCCGATTCATGAGATAAAGAACTCTATCACCCTTGAATTGTGAGTTTTTATCCATACCTCTTAGGGCTTCACCGGTCACGTTCTCTGGTTTCAGGGCCTTCAATTGAGCTTCTTTGATTTGTGCGGACCGGTGTGAATGGATAGTCATGGTTAGTGCACTTACTTTGCGACCTTAGTGCTCCTTTCGACTAAGGGCATCTGCTACTTCATTGGATTTGCCGAGATGATAGCAAATTTCTCATTCATAGTCATTGAGTAGTTCTACTCGTCGCTGTTATCTCATATTAAGCTCCTTCTGGTCGAATATATGTTGAAGAATTTTATGGTCTGTAAGTTAATGCCTCCAAATCTTATAAGCAAACACTACTGCTCCCAGTTCAAGGTCACGAGTAGTGTTGTAACACCCCGTTCATTAAGTGTTAATTATGAGTCCTTGAGATTTAAGAGGGAAGGTAATTCTGGTCCTTTTCGAGAAATGAGTTTCATCCGAGAAGGTTTCGGGTGGGTGTATGTGTTAGAAGTATTGGGCTTCTCGTCACCCTCGTATGAATGTAAAGTTATTTGAGAGTGGGTT